CATTCCTACACAATCACTTTACTTTGCTTCCCTCTACTACCCCACACCACACACACACACACACACACACACACACAACACACATCAACTGTAAATAATCTGCTGCGCAATTTAAAGGAGGAAGGGGCCCTTTGCACTGCTCATCCCAACCTTCTGCCTGGCAATCTGTTTCAGCACCTTCTAGTTCCCCTGTTTTTGTTTGCTTGTTTGTTTGTTTGTTTTTGCTATCTACTGGTTCTATCCCAAGGGATCAGTCTTATAAGGGACACTGCATCCTGTTCCCAGATATATTGATTCCTGTACTTTAACAAGAAGGCTAAGTAGTTGCTCATACAGAGCTATAGCAATAGGAACCTTCATAGACCACTTGGGTACCTCCATCTTAAAAAATCTTGCCTATAGCGCTGGCTGGGTACTCAGTGGTTGGAGCATTATCCTACCACACCAGGGTTGAGGGTTCAATCCCTGGTTGGGGCACATGTGTGAATGCATGACTAAGTGGAACAACAAATCTATTTGTGCACTCTCTCTCTCTCTCTGAAATCAATAAATAAAAAATAAAAATTGTAAAAATAAAAATAGCCAGCCATCATGGCTCAATGTTTGAGCATGAACCTATGAACCAGGAGGTCAAGGTTCGATTCCTGGTCAGGGCATATGCCCAGGTTGCAGACTGGATCTCCAGTATGGGGCGTGCCAGGGGCAGCCAATCGATGACTCTCTCTCATCACTGATGTTTCTACCTCTCTCTCCCTCTCCCTCCCTCTGTGAAATCAATAAAAATATATGTAAAAAATAAATCTTAAAAAACCTTGTCTATAAACATTTATGAGAGGAATGTTAACTATCTGTTCAACACATGAGAGCTTACTCATTCAAATGAAATGTAGTTACTTCCAATAGTCACCTTGGGAGGCCAGACATTCATCTCAATGGAGTGGCCAGTGCTTTGCAATCTCCCTGGAGCTCTTCTTTCATCAACATTACCATCCAAACCTTTTTCAACCCAAACCACACCTTTTTCAATCTCACTAGGGTAGAATTCCCATCCATTCAATTTGATGTTTAAAAATTGCCAAAATCCATTTGGAATCTTCTATTCACACAGCAACAACATCCTTGAAGAGTGATATACTCCAGTTT